TTTGCTCTTACGAATCAAAGGCATCTCTTCAGATTCTGAGCTAGAGGAGTAGTACATAAAAACGCTGGAGGAAATTTGGGAATTCTAGAGAGAGAAGGCTTGAGAGTATGCAAAGGGATTCTAGAGAGAGAAAGCTCGAAAGAAAAATGAGAAAACAGCAGGAGAAATTAGGGGAAGCACCTCTCTATAAATAGGGAAAGTGCCGCACAAATCCCTAATCCATGAGCAACACGTGGCATTGGGTGGTTACGATGAATTTGGGGCATTTATGATTCACTTTTTATGCACGTACCCCGGACGGGCTTACAGAGGATTAGCAAAGATCACAGGGGCTTACTATTTAGAAAAATGTTAAGTCCTAAATGTCAGCCTGAAGCCCGACCGGCCAACAGTATTGTAAAAGGTTATCTGGGAGAAAAATGCTAAGTCCTAAATGTCAGCATGAAGCCCGACCGGCCAACAGTATTGTAAAAGGTTATCTGGGAGAAAAATGCTAAGTCATAAAAGTTGACCTGAAGCCCGACCGGCTATCAACGTCATAAAAAAAAAATAGCCTAAGGATTGAACTAAAGCCCAACCGGCTATCAAGTTGTAAGAGATTATCTGAACCCAGAATATGCCAAGTCCTAAAATTTGGTATGAAGCCCGAACGGCTGAGTACCAGGGGGAAGGGGTTTTTTCCTTAAATCAGCAGAACTTTCTAAAGCCCGAACGGGGATCAACAGCGTTAGGATTATTTGAGCAAGAAATAAGTTAGGAAATTGGTTAAGTCCTTCAAAATAGGCCGAATCCCGAATGGCGAGTAAATCATGCATTAAAAAAACAGAAAAGACAGTACGCCAAGTTTCAGGCAAAAAGGGATATATATTCATCGGTACTACTGACCGGGAAATACAGGCTACTTGGAAAAAAGGAAATTACAACAAGAATTACAATACATATGAATTATTGATCGTGGGCCATTTCATCTCCCTCTTCATCTTCATCCTCATCATCATCAGACGGCGGTTCAGGCTCTTTTCCCGCAGCTCGATCAGCTTCCCGTTGCTGGGCTCGCAGAAATTTCTCAAACTGCGCCTGGATAATATCATCTGTGGGGAGATCAGAAGCCTGAACCGGCCTCCCCAATTGAGTTTGAAGCTGAGTGACGAAGGGACGCAGCAAGACCTGGCCAATTTTGCCATAAAGATCGGAAACAATGGAATCATTCCATTTTTTGGCCTCCAGGTCCTTATCCAAGAGGACCACCCCTGCCGATAGCCGGTCGGCGCCTTTAGGAAAACCCTTCAAATACGCCCCAAAGGCGAACGGGATTTGGGCCCTTGCGTGTTCATCCTTGATGATGGAGAATTCATCAGAGGATTTAAACGTATCCCGGACGGCGGACAAATCCACGCTCACTTCATAAGGACCGTCCGGGATGCTGGAGGGCATCTCTTCAAATTTGACCTGGGCAGCCTCAGCGGCAAGGACCTTCGCCTGGGAAGCTGCAAGTTGGACCCGAAGGGTACCAAGTTCAGCGTCCAGCCTCTGCTTTTCCTCCGCAAAGGCTTTCCGTTCGGCCTCCAGAGAGGCGATGGCGGCAGCAGCATGTTGCTCAGCAGAAGACTGGGCAACAATCAGTTCCCGCTCCTTGGCCAGGCGGGCCTCCCGCATCTGAAGGGTGTACAAGCCCATCTACAGAATACCGTTCGAGAATTAGTACTGGCTACGGAGAATAAAATGAAGACAAAGCACAAAAGACAATGTACCTTCAGAGCAGTCAGAGCCAGACATTCTTCAGATTGCTCGACCGGCAATTGAGGAATGGAAAAATTGTTAAACCAGGAGGAGGTAGACCAGATCTGGCTCGCTGTAGATCCGGCCCTCTTTAATACCTCATGAACAGGGTCGAACAGGGAGATCCGCTCGACCTGACCCGTAATATGGTCGGTATGGGTCTCACCCGCATTCGAGGATTCCCCCCGAACGGAGTCGAACTGCTCGGAAAATTGGTGCAGTTGGTCAGAACCGAACCGGTCATCAAGCAGCATGGCCTCTAATTGATCCTGGTGGACCTGCTGAATTGGCTGAGGTTCTGGGAGCGGTTGGGAGGGGGCAGCTTCCTGAGCGGGAACAATGGTGGGAGTAGGTTGGGGGTTCTTCCGGGATTTTTTCCGCTTACCGGCCCCACCGGCTGCGATAACTCTGCTATCATCCATAGGAAGATCTGGGTTGGGTGCTGAAAAAAGACAAAAGAACAATGTTAGTATCGAGCGGCCCTAGCGTGTGAGAAACTAGAAAAAAAAGAATAAAAGAACGTTTCTCGCACGGGAAGGACCGCCCGGACCAAGGCACTTGGTTTATCAAAACAAGTAAACCCAAGAGAACGGGCAGTACCTATCCCGGCTGTTATAAGTCGTTCGGGGGTCAGATAATTCATTATGTCCATGCATTTATCCTTCTCCGCAACAAGCACGTCCTTGTAGATTTCTTCAGTGAGGACATGATCAGGGGTTTTGCGGGGAAAGGCATTCCATTTGCGGGGAATCAGACCGTCCGGGATGGACACGAAGAAAAACCGGTCTTTCCACCCTTTGATCGAAGTTGGGTTTCCTTTGAACAGGATGTGTCCCGTTCGGGCACTAGTGGCCAGATAGCCATGGGTTTGTTGGGGAGCTACTTTGAAAAATTGGTGGAAGAGTTCTAGGGTTGGTCGGGCGCCGGCATCTTTGCAACGACAAATGAAACCCGCCATTGCTCGATAAGAGTTCGGCATAATCTGGGCCGGTACAACTTCGTAGAAATTGAAGAAAGAAATGAAAAAGGGGTGTAGCGGAAATCTAAGGCCGGCCCTAATCGAGTCAAAGTGGACTATGGTCATTCCGGGCCTATGACGCATTGGGTGAAGCCCGGCTTGCAAACGGAAATCCACCGGGTCAGGGATAAGGGCCGGAATTTCGGCCCTATTGTGAGAGGTCAATTTTTGCCTCCTCTCCCTAATCAATTTTAGGTCAAGAGTATGGCGAGGAACATCGTTGGGACGTCCGGCCGCCATGGAGGCTATTTCGTCCTCGGATTTGGTGTCATCAGAATCTTCACTGGAGGAAGAAGAAGTGCTAGGGAGGTCCTCCGCCTCAGCCCTGGTATTCGTCGCCGTCTCAATAGAAACACCGGCAAACGGAACTGGGATGGCATCTACAATGGCGGTGTCACGGTCATCTCCATGAGAGGCCATCTCCGAATCAGAGGAATGCTCTTTGGGGCTCATCTCGATCGAAGCCAGAAATGAAGATGGGGAATCCAAGGTTGGGAAGTTACCTGAGCAAGGGAAGCAGGGGGAAATTTGCAGAGAAAACAACGAAGGCCAAAGAATTGCAGAGTCGAAACCCGGAATTGAGGAATTAAGGGCTAATTTATAGCCTTGAAACCGCCGTGTCGAGAACCAATCAGAGAGCGACACGTCACTAGGGGCATTTAAGCTAGACATGCGTTTAATGAAAAGACTAAACGACGATTATCATGGTGAATATGGGGAAATGAAGCGGCAGCCGTCAAATCGCAGCATGGGGGAGTGATTACTTCTGTACCCCGATCGCCATTCGGGGTATTATGACATTGGTATACTTCCTGATGCACTCACTTCGTTCGAGACATCGGAAGTGGGGGACTTGTGTTGGGATATTGACCTAGAGGCCCAATACCCAGATCGGGAAGGCCCAAGATTTCCGGCCCAAATAACAGGCCCATCACTCTATGATGAGAAGATCCAGTAAGGAGACATACCGAACGGGGTTCGGCTCCAAATAAAGGTTGGTCCAATAAGAAGACATACCGAACGAGGTTCGGACTATATACTATACTTGGGCCAATTTGACAGCATCTTCAGTATGGACCAACATCCCGTTCGAGCAACCGTCAACCAGCAAGTGGCCAGGTGCAGTTAATGCCAGACTATGACATCAGCAAGTGGAAGCATGGATGACCAAGTCGGTGGAACAACGGCCAATCAGCAAGAGGCAGCCCATGCTCTCCATTAGTATAAATAGAAGGTTTCAAGTCATTGTAAGGGTTAGCATTTCAATACTCAAACTCTAGAATAGCACCATTTGCTCTTATTTCTTGTATTAAGGCATAGTTTCCGACTTATCGATCGGGAAATCCCTTGTAATCAGATTGATTAATTAATACAAGTGAGCTTTCGAGTTTTAGTTAGTTCAGATCTTATATTTTCTCATACACCTTGATTCTGGGCCATTCCTGATATATCCAAAGTTCGTGTTGGGCTTTCGGATCTACGGGACTTACCCTCAACACATGTTAATTATAAAAATTGTTTTCTGAAATTGAATATAAAATATTAGATTATAAAAAACAGTTATAATAAAAAAAACAGTTTGTTAAAAACCGTTTAATAAAAAACTGTTTTAACATTTAATTAACTATTTTAGAAAAACACTTTTTTTATTAACTGTTTTAATAAAAAAACGGTTTTTATAGAATGTATAAAATATGATTTTGTATAAAGTTTAGTAAAGTGGCGTATGAATAAATACAAAATTTGATTTCTTCCAAAAAAAAACTGTTTTTATACAAAAAAAAATTGTTTTATACAAAAAACTGTTTTTATACAAAAAAAACTTTTTTTCTACAAAAACAAAAACTGTTTTTCTACAAAAAAACTGTTTTTATATAAAACTTTTATAAAACTGTTTTTATACAAAACTGTTTTTATACAAAACTGTTTTTATACAAAACTGTTTTTATACAAAAAAACTGTTTTTATACAAAAAAAACTGTTTTTATACAAAAAAAAAAAAACTGTTTTTATATAAAACTTATATAAAACTGTTTTTATAAAAAAACTGCTTTTATATAAAACTGTTTTTATATAAAACTGTTTTTTATAAAATTAAATAAGAAAACTTATTTAAGATTTCAACCAAAATTTGATCTTCTATTATATTTACACTATTATTTGAAAATGTAAATTAATACTCCTCATTAATCAATTATTTTAGATGAGCAATGAACAATCAACCTCGCGTGCCCGCCCGAACTATGCGCCCTTAACCCAAGCCGAGCGCAACAACGAAAATTCGGAATGAGTGACACCTCACATGGTTGCTTAGTAAGTAACTATGAACTTTACTTAATGTCAAATAATTTTATCTAATGTCAAATAATCTAACCAAAACGGATATAAAAAAATATTATTAATTTTTTGAAGCGATCAAGAAGTATTGAACCAAATCAAAATCATAATTGGTGGAAACTTTCTTAGCAACTGGGCTACGTACACGGATGTTGACCTCAAGGTCAGTGAACTTTGGTGGAACCTGTTCAAGGTAAAAAAATGAATGTTCCCTGCGTAATTGTACTGACTTAAAATTTGACAAATGATACATTAATTTTTTTTTAATAAAGGCTCGGTTTTGCTGGACTGAAGAACAAGGCCCCGCTATTCATAGGGCGTATGACGCCAGAGTTTCAAACTGGCTTCATCCCACTTTTAAGCATGCCCGAGCCAGTGGGGTAAGGCCTCAATGGTGTTCGGATGAGGTGTGGGAAAACCTCGTCCGCCACTGGTCTTCGGATCTGACCTTCTTGGCTAGAAGCGAAGCCGGGAAGAAAAGTCGGATGACCGAGAAGGCATTAACGACACAATGGCACGGAGGCCGCAAACCTCAGAGTAAACATAAAGAAGCTCTTGTAAGTCTTATTCAAATAAACCTTACACCATTTTAACCCTTTATTTTTTTACATTTATTTAAGCCTTTTTCGAACCTTGTAGGAGGGGCCTCAAAAGAAGAGGGTCTCTATCCTCAAGGTCATCAAACATTGTTGGACTCCGCACGGTGATGAGTCGGAAGCCGATCTCCCACCCCGCCTTGCTGAAATCGAAGTACATAACATCAATTTTATTATTTCAAATCGAAGTAAATATCATTTCAATAACTTTTGTACATGCTTGTAGACGAAGTATAACGCAAATGTTGAGAAGAAGCAGGCGGAATTAGCCTTGACGCGGGAAGATGAGATCGATTCTGCATGGAAGATGATGCGATCCTTGAGGCAGCTGGGGTGTACAAGGGTCGGCATCCGTGCCTCGGGGCTGAGGGGCAACGTATTTTGTACGATCGCAGCGGCAGCGGAGCTTCATCATCTTCTCGATCGAGGTGGGGAGAGGATCCACGCATCGCCCAATTGCAGCGAGAATTGGAGGAGCAGCAGCGGGCATTCGAACAGCAACGGAAGAATGATGAAGAAACAAGGGCCCGGCTGGAAGCAATGGAACGGATTGTTGCCGGATATCAGCCTCCGCCTCAACCTCTTCCTCGACCGTACATGTTGCACGTTGAGCAGACTCCTCAGGTTCCGCAGATGGGTCATATGGGTTATCATTCTAACTCCGGATATGGTACCATTCCTGCAATAGGGTCGACATTCGGATCTTTGTCGTCTGCTTTTTTCAATCAATTTCAATCATCCGGTGGAGGCAGCCGAGGAAGCAACCGAGGAAGCAACCGAGGAAGGAACCGAGGAGGCAACCGAGGAGGCATCCGAGGCATCCGAGGAGATACCCGATCCTTAGACCCCGTGGATGCTGAAGAGGATCATCATGTTGATTATGATGATAATGATGCATATGATAATGATGATCCTAATTTTTATCATAATGGAGTCCGACATACGGGCATGTAATAATACATTTTGCAAGTTTAACATTTCATATTAGTTTTATAATTCAGTCTGTAATAACATTTTTTATGTTTAACATTGTATGGATTTTGTTTTTCATTTAATGTTCTAATTGCTTTAAAGTAAAATTAAAACAATTTTCAATTTTGTTTAAATGGATTTTTTTTTAAAAAAACAAAAACTTTAGTCACTGACTAAATCCGTGACTATTTTTTTTTGGTCTGGAACTCTTTTCTAAATTCAAAATTTATTTTTTAAAAAAAAACATAGTCACAGATACATGTCCGTGACTAAAACAAATTTTGAAAATTTAAATCGCGGACTTTTTGAAAATTACAAAACTTAGTCACGGATCAGTTCGTGACTAATATAGTCGAGCTTTCTTTCCTAAGGCATGTGATTCGAATAGAGTTGGGACATTCAATGCGGACTTTGTATTGTCCAAAAACTAAATTTCTTTGAGATTCCACACCCAAAAGAAAGAGTTGGGTCATTCAATGCGGTCATTCAATATGGTCGAATTTAAAAACAAAAATACACGTAGTCACGGACACGTCCGTGACTACAATAAAAAATAAAAAATTTAAATTAAACTTAGTCACGGACCATGTCCGTGACTAACGTGCCGGAGTAGCAATTCCGGTCAAAAATTAGTCACGGACACAGTCCGTGACTAATCCGTGACTACCGTTAGTCACGGCCAGAGCTCAGTGACTACATTTTAGTCACACGGAATTAGTCACGGACTTAGTCACGGACAAAATCCATGACTAACATAGTTAGTCACGGTTTTTTACACTGCGGTCCGTGACTAAGTCCGTGACCACATGCGAATTTTTTTGTAGTGGTTAGGTGATGAATCCACACTCCCTAAAATATCAAAAAATAGTACTCCGTGTTATATTACGTAATACTACGAAAAGTGTTAAAATTACATTAAATGGTTAATTTGGGGTAGTATTTTGAGTGGGTTCACTTCCGATTTGGATCAGGTCAAAGTGGTTTCGAATTCCATTTGTTAAGGACTTCAATTCGATATGTGGTACACTCAAAATGAATAACGGGTGAATGAGAATTTGATTCTCAAAGTTCACTCGTTGAAATGGAAAAACTGAGGAAAATATTGGTTTCTAATGTGATTTATCCCACACCGAAAAATCCAATGGATTTTCATCATCTTATAATGGTCACCCTCTTTGAAGGATTTAAATTCATAGGTGGAAAGACTCTCTTCACACGTGGTGTCAATCTTAGTATGTCATTTTGATAAGTAAAAGCTCTTGTTTCTCAAGTATTGATGTGCACTTTGTCGTGGTGTGCACTCAAAATAATAAATACAAAACAACACTTATACGTAGTATGGTGTAGTATGATTCGTATCTGATGATCTATATTCCTAGATCTAGAGAGAAGAAGGAGAGAATGAACAAAATTAGAGAGATCAAGTCTAGAGTGTAAAATGAATTTTCCCCCTTTACAAGATAGGTATAGAACCTATTTATAGGAGAAAAACGAGCTAACCTAGGAACAACGGGTCAGGCCCAATACAAAGAATACATCAAATATAAACGGGACCCTCGGGCGCATAGAGCACTGTTGGGCCGATACAAAGAACGGGCTAGGCTCAATACAAGAAATACATCATCTCGGGTACCCCCGGTCTTGGATAATATATATTCATCATGAATCCCCCACTCCCTAAGGCGAGAAGACTTTGAGGTGAAAGGGAGTAGTCCAAATGCTCTTTGAACCACCATCGTTTGTGATGCCTTGCTCGGTGTGGAAAGCCTCTCCGCCCTTTCCCGCGATGAGGTGATGCCTCGTTAAAAAACCTCCGCTAGGAAAAAATCCTGTGGGAAAAAATTCCTAATCGAGGAAAAAGAGTGCACCGCCCTCGAAGCGGGTGTAGGGAGAAAGTGCATATTCTGCAGAGCTGAGAGGCGATGAGAGGAGGATGTCCTGGACCGGTCTTCAAATGAGCAATGGTCGCCATCCATGAGGAGGATGACTGAGACCGGTCTTGTCCAATGCTAAGTGTGTCACGATCCAAGCTCGTCTGGCATGGGCTCGAAATCGACTGTTTTTTTTAATCCGGAAGACAAACCATCAAAATCAGTGGGGTAAATGTCGGGGAATATTTACCGGATTTTATTAATAACAAGAAAGATACAGCTGGAAAGGGGGGCCAGACCAAAACCTTTCCAAGGAAGGCATACCTTCCTAAAAAAACAATGATAAACAACAAAGAAAAAGCGCAGAAAATTATTGGGGGGACCGAACCTAACCCAATAAAAATTACATGAATCTAAAATCACACAAACCCAATTTATCAGCAATCAACGAACGCCGCACCTGACCTGGTAATTGGTTCTCACTGTAAAAAACACCTAAATCATCACATCCAATTTTTGCCAGGAAATGAGCCGACCAATTTTTCTCCCTAAAGATATGTCTGAATTTAATTTGTTTATCAACCATCCAGCTTCTCAAGTCTCCAACTGTAATACTTAAGAATTTGGTTATTTGATTTTAGTTAATGTTTCGGGACGAAACATCTTTTAAGGAGGGTAGAATGTGACACTCTAAAAAATTAAATAAAAAAAAAATATTAGTGAGATAAAATGTTACGGAAATAACATTTTAATTATTAAGTGAGTCAAACAAAAATTTGTGACATTCTAATCAGATAAAAATTTGTGACATTTTAATTATTATGTGAGTCAAACAAAAATTTGTGACATTCTAATCAGATAAAAATTTCCATGTTTACGACATTTTAATCAGTTAAGTTGGTCCGATAAAAGAAGTAACATTTTATATCAAGTACCAATTATACATATGCCATAAAAAGTAAAAGTTATATTTTAATAAAAATACAAAATACAATATATACTCCTAATATATACCTACGTGCATACTGTTATTAATAATACGTAGTATAAAACATACAGTATAATCTATAAACAATAATATGCTAACTACGTACGTTATACATAGTATTACAACCTACGCACGTAGCATGAACCAACACTCAAAATAAGCTACATTCAGAGTCCTAAACAATCCGAACTCCTTCGTTTTTAACTTGGTCGGCAAACAAACCGCAATCCACGTATGAGATAGAAACGGGTGAAGAAGAAGCTAGTTAAATTCAACTCCAACTCTAACACAGCCTGGAGCCTCGACCAACACTTATAAATAGCGCCCTTCACCTGCGTTTATACTCAGTCAAAAACACGACCAATATATATATATATACACATACGTATATACGAAGTATATATATACATGCAATTTTCAAACCCAGCGATATACCATAAACCAAGCTTCGAAACCGCATCCCAAACCTTCTCCTTCGTGAGTGAAATCCAACGGTAGAAGAATCATCGAAAACGGTCGTGAAACGAGGGAGAAAAGATCTGCTGCAGTTTCGCCGGACTAATCAAAAAGAAGGGAAACGGGGCAGAAGGGGTTGCCACCGCCGCCGCCGGACCATTGCTGACCGTCGCCGTCCCGGAAGGAGCCCGCTGCCACCATCTTACACCCGCCAGAAGAAGGTAAGCCGCTTTCCCTGCGTGTTGTCGTTTTTCCGGCGAAGGACATGAAGAAGACGATGGTCTTATTTTATTCTCTGTACATGGGCTGTGGTCTGTTGCTGGGCCTCTTCCTTATTTTATTATTTGGGCCATTCCGGCCAAGTTGCAATGAAAAAAAAATAGTAAATGAAATAAATAAAATCTGGAAAAATATAAATTAAATACCTAGTATAAATATACGAATTTGGACCAACCATAATTGAAAGATAATATTTTTAGCTATTTTTAATTGATTTAATTGTAATTGGACCAAGAGAGTAATCGAAAGGTTGAGCACCGTCCTTCTAAATTACTAGGAAGATAGA